TGGCACGCTGCTTCAAACAAAGTTTTTATTCTGCAGGCATTCACAGGGATGGATTGGAGAAAATGCAATAAATCAGATTTAGCTTGTCATGGTTTACTGCTTTGTACCCCGGTTCTGGGGCGTCCATCCCGCCCTAGCTATCGGCGTTATGAAGCCTAATTTACACGCTACTGGTGGTAGATAGGAAGGGGAGAAAATTATCATTTTTAGGGATTTGAGGACAACATAAATCAATCAATCGCAACGTGCTTCAACGTACGGGACTGGTGTGTAAAAACTTGGTTTTAATTAAAATTTTAGCATTTCTGTTTGTTGATTTTTAGTAATATTTCGTCGTAGAAAATAGCTTTTTTTTAGACCGTTGGCTGACATCGTCTGGATCAATGATCATGAGCTTTTATAGGATTAGGTTGTCTTAGCTTTTTCGAACCCACGAAGTGTCACTTCGATTCTTACCGGTTAGATTTTACAGTTCCACGTGAACTGAATTAAATTAGGACGAGAATCACCGTGTACCAACCTACATGGGTTCGTCTTACTGAGCTGCATGGTAAAAATTAGAATGTTGACTTCAGGGAAATAAAATTTTGATATAGGGGGCTATAATTCCTGAAATTAACAAGCATAAATACTTCTTTAGAATGTCATCAGAATGCATTGAAAATGAGGTCCATATGGAGTTCTGCTCTTTAACTCGCCTGAACTATAATGAATTTCCGGAAATACAGTTTCCTGAACTTTGTAATGTCATAAAGGTTATCGGGACGTCGTCAGTAATTCTGGGTTCAGTCCACTGGGAAAAACAAACGCTTTCCATGCTTTATTCATATGGCTGGTTTAAACATTCATATGGCTGGTTTAAACATTCATATGGCTGGTTTAAACAATGGATAAAATGACTGTTTTGTATATTTCATAAAAAAATCAATTTTCAATCAGACATTTTGCATGTTTTTAAACCATTTTGTTTTTTGGTTAAAACTGTTTGTGTTAGAATGATTGAAATGAGATTCTATCGTTTTACTCTTGTGGGAATTAAAATTAGTTTGATTGCCCCGTCCATTTTATCATGCTTATGCATTTTTAAATAGTACATGTAGGAAAATTAAACTAAAAGGCCAAATATAATTAAGTATGAACACAAAAAGAAACTTCTATTGAGACGTATGTTAGGAAAAATAACAGTCAAATGAGATAAAACAGATTGCTTTATCAGAACAAGCTCTCTATTTATTGCATATAGCGCATATAAATGCCTGAGGTTCCCGTCCGTTTTGTAAACAAATACGACGTTACGACGTGGTAGTAAAATCAGAGATAACCTTTGCCACCAAATGATTGCAGTTTAAGAACGGCGAGGATTATCCCCACGCGTACATC